TAATAATAAATTTAAATAAAAATAAATAAAAATTTTGAATTTCTATAAAACTAACTACTTTTATTGAAAACTAAGCAAAAGAAGAAAATTTTTTTTGCTGCAACATAAATGAACAAAATGTAAAAATTAATTTAATCTAAGCAAAATAAACTAGCAAGCAAATGAATATTTAATTATATTTTGTTAGTTTTATAAGTTATATGTATTACAACCAAGTAATAACTATTACTCAGTCTTCTTTTTGCAATATTTACAGTTTTTAGTTGATTACTCACAGACTTTTTAAAAACAAAAAATAATTGTTAGTTGCAAAACTGTTAAAATGAATTTAAGAATTTAAAAAAAATCTTTTTTATTCATTTAGTTATAGACAAAACACAATTGTGTCTAATTTTGAGAAAATAAAGATATTTTAAAAAACCCAAAGCCAAATAAACATTTAATAAAATTATTACATAATAGCAACTTATTATTCAATTAAACAAGTGTTGCAGTAACTTAGTAAACTGCAGTAATTCATAAAAGTTAATGCCAATAAATATAAAAAGCAAAAACAAGAATTTTATGAAATCAAAAACTTCATGAGGCCTGATATGTATATGTGTATACACACACACACACACACACACACACACACACACACACACACACACACATATATATTCTGAGGGATATATATGCCTAAGAATTAGAGTCAACATTTAAACAATTTAAACAACCTCAGACATTGTTTGATCTAATTCCGTAAGGCAAATCATCATCATTATCATTATCATCATCAAGCTTTAGCCTTCCCTTTTCATGCTTATACAAATATGTAAAGATATTTCAAGTTAGCATCTAAACAAACAGCAAACATATATATTTATATCCATGTTATGTATTCATAAATAACATTTGTTACCTAACCTCCTAGATCCAAGCAGGTACGAACTTTTTTATTCCATAATTTTGGTTTTAAATCAAGCCTCATTCTACTCTGTGTTTTTCACCTCTTGTGCGGCAGTTGCTATATTAAACTGTAATTTTTTTTTTCTCTCTTTTACAAGAACATCTTTATTGAGAATAAATGACTTTTTATTATTGCAAGAAGTTGATTTAAAAAGTCTGATGCTAAGATCTGTTATACTCAGTTAATTTTTTCTATTTATTTCAGATGTTCTAAAGACTTTACTTCTCCATAGATTAAGAGTTATTTGCAAAAAACTTTTCCTCTATTTTTACTCTTGAATCTATTGGTTATAACTCTTCCTGCAGTTCTAGTTAAACAGGTTAACTCATTGCTAGACATCAAAATCACATTGGCTTCCGATGCTTAAGCATCAATTTTAATCTTCTACGGTTTGTGGTTTAGACAATATTTCCATCATAGTCTAATATTGACTATAATCGAAATATTGTTTATGTTGATATTTCCATAATTCTCTAGAATTCTTTTTAATTCTCACTAAACTATTAATTGCTAAATACCACTTATTTAGCAATAATAAATTTAAAATCTCTAGAAAACACTCTGACCTCTCTATCCTACAATTAGTCTTCTCTTTCTTCATATAAAAGTTTGAAGATTATTAAATCATTTCTTTCTTACCACAGTATTGAAGTCATTCTCAAAGGTCTACACTCTTCTTCATTTTCAGTAACTTTAGAAATATTGTAAGGTTCTATTATGGCTCCTGCATTGTTTATTATCTACCATAGTAATGTCCCTGATAATCTTACATCTAATGTGACTCTATTTGTTGATGACTCAACTTTATACTCCTGTCTTGACAAAAAGTCTTTACTTTTTGATCACTCAGAACAAGCGGCCAACCTTTAATCTGAACTCGCTTCTGTAACAGCTTGGGACAAGAAGTGGCTTGTTGGTTTTAACTTTAACTAAATTTAGTTATTTAGTGCAAACATGTAATTTTGTTTACTTTTCTATAATGATCAATACCAACCCTCTCACTCTCAGAAAAGGTCCAAAAGAACATTTAAAATTTAGTTGGACCAGCTTTATCTGCCAAACTTGAGCCACCCTCCCATAGTTGTAGGGTCGCATCTCTTTCTTTTTTTTTACAAATGCTTAATTCATATGCTCAAATGAGCTTTCATCTTGAGTTTGATCAACTAAAACTCATTTTTGCTTGTCATTCAGCAATTTTGTATCCCTTTATTATATCTGTCTTGCCGTGCTACACAAATTTTAATTCATCTAGTTTATTTTCTCGCACATTAACAAAACGTCAAATTCTCACCCATCTTCATATTTTCCTAACTCATACAACCTACAACTTTCTAAGCCATCGATTAACCATTTTCTTTCTCTTTAGCCTTATTCTTTGTTTTTTAGTAACTCGCAACTTAATAGTGGTTGTCAACTTTGTCAGAAGTGAATTAGTACAAATAAGGCCTAAATAATTGAAAAAGTTATTTGGCATTGCAACCATAATGCACATTTGAAAGTAATGGCCTCAAATTGCATTTATGCAATTTAAAGTCATTTTTATCAAATCCATTCAAAAGAAATGGCTTTAAAATCCCAATTCTGAACTCATGCTGAATCGTCTTTGTACAGTTAAAAAAAAAAGATAAAATATGAAAAACTCTTGTTAATAAACATATTCTTATTACTTTTTTGTGTATCTTATGTTGGAAAATAGTTATACTTTATTTATATATAAAGTTTTTATTTGTATTTTTATAAAAACATAAGTTTTACCTCTAAGAAGACAAAAAATATCAACATGGACTAATAATTTGATCAGGGACTGTACATATATATATAAAACTTATAATGCATACTTAGAAAGCAGTCTGATGTCATACAAAAATAGCCTGCTGCAGGGGGGAAAAAACATGCAAGGATTACTGCTACTATGACTAAGAGCTTGGATTAGGGCAACTATCTTTTTTTTTGTTATTCTTTATTTTGTTAATGAAGAGTAATAATAAAAAAATAAAAGCCAAAAATAAGTCAAGTTTATAAATATAAAGTTATTTATAACTATTATATAAATCATATAATATATTACTTCAAAACATAAAACAATTAGTTTGTTATAAATATATAAATGTAAACATAAAAAAAAATCCTTTAAACAGTAGCCTAATATTATTAAAATTAATTAATCACTAGTAAATTACAGAATACTGCACTAAATTTAATGAATCAATAATTACCATAATTTTTAGTTAAAAAAATTGTTAACTCAAAAAAAAATGAGTTTCAAATTTGAAAACTCTGAACTTTTATTTATTTCTATCATTTTGTTTGGCAGCTGAGCAGGTCTAAACCTATGTTTAAAATGCATTTTTGGACCTTATGTACAAAAAAAACCGAGCATTTTAAGAACCAGCCCAAATATGACCACACAAAAAATTAAGAGTTATATAGAGGTGGAGAAAGGAACAAGAAGTAAGAAAAAGTTAGCTCCTGCTATGACTTGCCTATCTTTATCATGGTAAGCATGATAAAGATAGGCAAGTCATAGCAGGAGCTAACTTTACAATAGATTGAATATATTGTTTTCATGAGAGGTCAGTAGTGAAAGGTAATCTGATATTTAAAGAATAGGTAGTTAACTAATGGGTATCAGCTTCAACCTTTTTCTATCCATTAGTATCAGAATTGGCCGCAAATATGCAATCAATACACAATTATTTATTAGTATATTAATAGTTTACCCATTTAAACGGGTCTTTTAAATGGCTTAATAAAAAATTTATTAAAATAGCTTACTATAAAGCCTTACTAAAAAGCTATTTGCTATAGATATTATGAGCAATTTCTTAATACTTTGAACGGCTTCTCAAAAGCATATGCTTACAATAATGCAATTATTATTCACATAGTTTGAAAATCATACTTTAAAAATAAATAAGTATTTACAATTGTTTATTTGAGATATTAGCAACAGGAGAATTAGAAATTAGAAAATATAAATTAAACTTGCAAAAGTTACTTTTAGGTGCTTAATACAAGTTAGGATGCAAATAAAAAGGTGGGTTTTTTTTTTTTTTTTTTTTTTTTCCACTATTGAGATATGGTTTTTTAATGGATAACAAATAAAAAATATTAAGCAGGGGTGCCCCAATAAGCTCAGGGTTGGTGGAAAAAATTTTGGAAAATTATTTCAACATTCCCTCCAGCATATTTAGCATATAAGAGTACATAATTTAAAGTATATTGAGTTCACTCCATAGTATGTTAAGCTAAAAGTGTGTTCCAAGTTTCTTCACCTTATCTTTTTTTTGACTAGAAAAAAATTCTTAATCAACTATTTTTATTTAAAGTTTTATTTTTTAACTCAAATAAAAAAAAAAAGTCACCTTCTATTTGTCTAAAGCGTAGCAGATATTTTATAAACTGTCAAACCTAACTTATGTTCAATAAAAATTTATAATATTAAAGATTTATATCTAAACTTTTTTTCTATTTCTGCATTATTATTATTTTTTTTTTTTAAATTAACATCACAGAAATAGAAAATAAAAAGTCAATTAACATATAACAAAGATAAAATAAATACTTTATTTACTGGATATAACATACAAGGTAAACAAATTCGAGTAAATAGAAATCATATGAAAATATAAAAAATCCAAAAAACCAACACAACCTTATATAATAATTAAAACCAATTAAAGTAAAGTTAAAAAATGACTAATTCTTTTAAAAAGTAAAAAAGAAATATATATTATGAACTTTTCAAAATGCTTTTAAATTTATTAAAATAATCGAGATTTCAAAAGTAAAAAGAACTCCTAAATTAAAAACATTTTTGATCAAGGAAAACTTTAAAAAATGAATTTATTTTTTAACAAAATTATTTTCAGTTATAAAAAAATTCAACTGTATTTATAATACAAATAATCTCTGTAGGTATACATGATATATGCACATACATGAATATATATATATATATATATATATATATATATATATATATATATATATATATATATATATATATATATATATATATATATATATATATATATATATATATATATATATATATAAAGGTAAAATTCATTTAAGCCTAGTTCTCAAAAACCTAAATCCAACACTATATACAGTGCAAGAATTGATTAGATATAAATATTAAATGTATAATATACAACTAGAAAATTTTATAACTTGGGATTAAATTTACAAACATTTTTAAAGTTCTGATGAGTTAAAACTGTTTAGCAAATTTTTTGGTACAATTTGCACTTCATCATCCTCACTGGAAGTTAAAAAAAGTCGTGATCGCACAGCCATATCAGCTAAAGGAGCAGTTGGGGGAGAACAGTCCATTGAAACATTTAAAGAATTTTTTGGTGTCACATCTGACGATATTTTCCATTTATAGTCTCTATTTAAAGATCCCAATAATGGGCTATCTTTTTCTTTACTAATTCCTTGCAGTAAAGGGCTTCGCTGAGACACATCTATATTTTTGCTTGAACAAATTGGAGACAAGGAAGTAGAATTGCTTTTTGTTTTGTTTATTAATAAATCATAACTAGAATTGAAATTAGATTTGGGTGATGATGTGAGATGTGTTTTAGTGTTTATTTTATTTTGATTTTTAAATATTCTACTAAGAAAAAAAAGATAAATTAGACTAATCATCAAGTAGATCCAGTGAAATGGTTTATAAATTACAGCTAAAATATTTTTTGATCCTCTCTTCCACTCAGCCTGTTTAATACAAGGCCATTTAAGAATATCATCAACAGTTGGCCTCAACTTGGGGTTAGAATTCATTAAGGTTGTTATTAGCAAAATCAAATCATCAGAAAGACCCTGGGTAAATTCAATAGGAAGTTGATTGTTTCTTAAGCGATGCCACAAAGCACCACCATTTGGCAATTCCAGTCTGCATGCTAGTTCAAGAATAGTTATCCCTAAACTGAATATATCTGCAGCTTTTGAAAAATTTCCCTCCATTAATTCAGGAGCTAAATATTTAGAGTCGCCATCCATAGCATCACTCAAATCTCTAGAAAGTTCAACAACTAAACCAAAATCTCCAATTTTATAGTGTCCATCACGTCCTAAAAATAGATTTGCAGGCTTTATATCCATATGAATAAACTGTGAATCATGAATATGTTTTAACCCTTTGCATAAATCTACCAGCATATTCCATATTTCTTTTTCTTCAACTACTTGTACACTCTCAGCGTATTCTTTTAAGCTCATTTCACATAACTCAGTTTGAATATATAAAAAACCTCGTTCCTCCCATGCTTTATAAAATTGAACACAATTTATGTGTCCTTGTAATAACTCATTTTTATTCACTTCTTCTAATCTTTGCTTTCTGTCAAAATCTCCCCGAAAACACTCCCTAGATTTTTTTACAGCATACAGCTTGCCATCATCTTTACTCTGAACTTTATAAACATCCCCAAATGAGCCGGAACCAAGTTTGGATAGCTTTGTAAAACATTGGTCAAAATATAACTTGTCAACATTTTTGTATGAAGGACTTGCTATGCTTGCTGAACCGCTTTGTAAACCAGATTGTCTAAAACTAACTGACAAAGCTCCTGGTGTAGACAAATTGCGATGTCGAAATATTCTACTAATTGGTGGAATAGATTTTATTGGAGACTTTGGAACATGACTTTCCAAACACCTTGTACCACTTTTTTTACGTGAAAATGTAAGGTCATCAATAATTATTGGAATTGGACGAGGAGTAGTTGTTGACATGCTAAAAATAATTATGCATATAATAAAACAGTGAACATATATATATATATATATATATATAAATATATATATATATATATATATATATATATATATATATATATATATATATATATATATATATATATATATATATATATATATATATATATACATAAACAATATGATGTCATACTGAAATAGGTAGCTGTGAGGGCTTCAGTATATACATTGACTAATCTAGGTAAAACATGCATAGTAGTAAAATATTTTAGGGCATTCTTTTGTTCTCACAATCATTGCAAATTTTCGAAAAGCATATGTATAAACATATAAATATTTAGAATTTGCTTCATGCCTCTAAAGCAGCTGTGTTAAACACCTAAAAATCCTTCATGCACTTATGCAATTCCCTATACCTATTTCAATATAAAATATATACTATAAACTTGGGACTGAGAATCAAATCAAATCAAATATATTTTGAAAAGACATTTTATCAAAGATATGCACAAGCAGTAATAACTAATAGTTTCAAGTAAATAAAAAATGAAATAATAACAAAACATAACTATTTTTAATAACAATCATAACAAAATATTAACAACTAATAAATTAATAAATAGAATTGTTCATTATGATAAAATTATATTTATTATTAACATTACGATATATGAAAAGTAGTTGTATAATAATATCAAAAAAAAAAAGGTCACATGTTTAAAAATATTATAAGGTGCTAATTATTAAATAGCTATATATTACTATATAGCTATATCATAAATATAATTCAAAGTTAATTTAATTTTATTAATTTAACTTAGAATTATATATATGATATATTAACAAATTTAATTTTATTAATAAAGTTATATTTACTAATACTACAATTTATGTATGACTTGTAGTTACATGATTATCATGGTAAAAAAATTTAAATTATTATTATCATGATGATAATAATAATTTAAATTTTTTTATGCTTGTAACACATGGTTGCATTTTTAAATTAAGCTATTTTGTATTTATAAAAATCTCTAGTCACTTTTTTGTTAGAATGATGACAAAATGTTTTTGTTATTACTTTTGTAAACTTGGGTCAGCTGTAACAGAAACTTGTTACACATTCTTTACTTAAAATAATTATGTATTGCTATTTAAAAATTAGACTTTTGTTAATGAGATGCCTCATAAAAAGTTCTCTAATGACATTTACTATAACTATACTTATAACTATAACAACAATAAACATATATATTATATATAATATTATTAATAACACCAAAAACACTAATTATTATTATTTAAATACTTATAATAATAGCTTGTGTTATTTTTAACTATAGTTTGCTTAAATATTACAACAATGTTATTAATAATTATTTATAAATATATATATATATATATATATATATATATATATATATATATATATATATATATATATATATATATATATATATATATATATATATATATATATATATATATATATAAATCGTAAACTAAATTAAATTATTTTATTAGCACAGACTTAAAAATGTTAAGTCTGTACTAATACAATAATTTTTAGTAGAATGTTAATAACATACTACTGAAATTCGATTATTTAATTTATTACCAAAAATGTGATACAAGTTTAAATGAAAATAAAATCTTGGATTTTAGCTAAACATGTTATAAAAAAATACATTAAATTACAATTTGATATACTTTATTTTCTTATATGTTTTTCTTGGTGTTTATATTTGTCAAGTTGTCGGTCACGCGGTTTGTTTACTATTCACCTGATATAGCACTTCTTGTGTTCTTTATGGTCCGCCTAATAATATATGGTCATCTCAAAGAATTCTTTTAACTAATTAGACTTAAGCGCTCTTTAACGTGAGAGTTTCTAGTCTTATCTAATGAGCTGAAATCTTATGAGCCGAAAAGAAACAGAATGGACTACGGAATCAAAGCAATAAAAAACCGGCAGCAACCCCCGTATTTATGCTTTAGTACTTGAATATGTTTGAATTTTATGTCTAAAAACTTCAAAGTGCAGTTTGAAAATAAAATAACACAGAATCTAGCAATAAATTTTGTATTGATATCCTATCTGTGTGAGGCAGAGTGACTGGCAACAATTAAGTGAATTTTGGGTAAGAGGGAAAATCTATCTTTCGTTAGTAAATTTTTGTTGTTATTTTTTTAGTTATTGATAATAACGACACTATAACAGCAATAGCAAAAATAAAAGCAATAATTAAGTTTATACGAAAGTTTGTAATAAAGTTTGTATGTTTTGATTAAATCGTTTAAGTAAAATTGAAATTCAATACTCTGTTAAAGCTAGAAGATCTTTTCACAAAAACAAGGTGTCCTATGATTCATGTTTAGCGGTTCCAGAGCGCAACAAAAAACATTTGACGTTTGACAAAAAAAAAACTTTGTAATGAATTTTACTATCATTTAATAATATAAAATTAGAATAATAGGAAATTAGAAAAAGGAATTATAAAAACTGACATATCCGATCATTTCCCCATTTTTCTAACAACCCATACTGTATCCTCTAATAACCCCGAAAGACTTCAATGAGAGCAATATAAAATCCTTCCAATATCAATTATCACTTCTGCATTGGAAACATATTAACTTTAATGAAGACGCAAATACAATATATAATAAATTCTTTGATACGTTCTTCTCAATATGCGATGCAAACTTTGTGAAAAAATAACAAAAATAAAAACCTTAAATAGTCCATAGATTACCAAAGGACTTAGAAAATCCTCTAAAATCAAACAGAAACTATATATAAAATATTTAAAAACAAAATCAAATGAAAACCAACAAAAATATAAAAATTACCAACATTTATTTGAAAAAATTCGTAAAAAATTAAAAAAAAATTATTATTTAAATTTCATTAGTAAATTTAAAAACAACCCAAATAAATACTTGGAAAACGTTGAAAGAAATAACAGAAAAACAAAAAAAAAAATTTAAACTCCCTTCCTAAAGTAATTCAAATAAATAAAACAAAATATACGAACCAAACGAAATTGCAAACGAGTTTAATAAATATTTCATTGATGTAGGAACTAAATTGACAAACAAGATCCCTATTACGGAAAAAAATTTTATTGATTTTCTAGAGCCTATAAATAATTCGCTTTTTATAGATAATTTAAATTCTGACTTATCTTTTGATGAGTTTGAGAGAGCCTACAAATCTCTCAAAAGAAACAGAGCTACGGGTGCGGACAAAATAAATGGCAATATAATTATTGCTTTGAAAACTTAAAATGTATTCTTTATAAAGTCTTTAGGGCATTTATACTGCAAGGTGTTTTCCCCGACCAATTAAAAATAGCTAAAGTAACTCCTATATACAAAAACGGAAAAAAATCAAGTATTTGTAATTATCGCCCTATCTCAATTCTTTCAACTTTCTCAAAAATATTAGAACGAATTATTAATAATAGAACATACAATTACCTTAATCTAGATAAACTTCTATATAAAAATCAATTCGATTTAAAAAAAATTGTTTTACTAAACAAACCATTACACAGTTCATTCGTGAAATCTCCAATTCATTTGGTAGATCACAATATACAATAGGTATTTTCATTGACCTATCAAAAGCATTCGACACAGTCGATCACGAAATTCTAATTAAAAAACTCAAATTTTACGGAATTAATGGCAAATTAATAAAATGGTATAAAAGTTACTTGAAAAATAGAAAACAATTTGTTTTCTATGGAGATTATTTTCCAAATGAAAAACTAATTGACATAAAATGTGGTGTTCCACAGGGTTCTATTCTAGGCCCACTTTTGTTTTTAGTCTATATAAATAATTTAAAGAAAGCTTCTAACCTTATGAGTATCATTTTTGCGGACGATTCTAATTTTTTTCTGTCAAACAGTGACATTTATGAGCTTTTTTCAAATATGAATAAAGAACTCAATCACATGTCCAACTGGTTTAAGTGTAACAAATTAACTTTAAACATTGACAAAACAAAATGGATCCTTTTCCACTCTCTTGCAAAAAAGCGTTTTTTACCAAATAAATTACCTAAACTTTTTATTGATAAAATTGAAATAAAAAAGGAGTTGGTCACAAGATTTTTAGGCATTTGCATTGATGAAAATATTACATGGAAGTGTCATTTCGACTTTATTTCTACTGAATTGGCTAAAAGTATTGGAATTTTATATAAGGTCAGATACTATCCAAGTAAACAAAGTTTAATTCTACTCTACTACTCATTTATTTATAGCTATATAAATTATGCAAATATTGTTTGTGGAAGTACCTCTCAAAGTAAGTTACGAAATCTCTACCATCGTCAGAAACACGCAATGCGTTTAATATGTTTTGAAAATCGTTTTTCTCATTCAAATATTTTATTTAAAACTTAAGCACTTAACGTTTACGAACTCAATGTCTATAATATTTTATGTTTTATGTTTCACTGTAAAAGTGAACAACCATTGTCCAATTTCAAAGATCTTTTTACTTATAAAGCTATAAACAAATATGCTTTACGAAATAATAATTTATTAATTGAACCCTTTTGTCAAACAAAGTTTAATCAATTTTGCTTAAACTATCGAGCACCGTATTTATGGAACAAAGTTGTTGTTCCAAATTTTGAATTGTCAATTTTGTTTTCCGTTTTTAAAACTAAATTAAAAAACTATATTCTTTCTACTGGCAATATATATAAATATTTTTGAAATGTAAAATTCTTTTTTTTTTTCAATTTATTGGATTTGAACCAGTGGGATAAAAGTTTAAGTTCTTTATTCACTGTGGCAAAAAGTTCGCTAATATCGCTCTTAGAGATGAATAAATTAGTATCATCAGCGAACATGATGCTCATCAGATTAGTTGCTTTATTTAAATCGTATATAAAGATTAAAAAAGGAGAGGTCCGAGGATTGAACCTTGTGGAACTCCACAGGTTATACTTAAACAATTGTTGTGATAGTTGTCATTACCAACAACAAATTGCTTTCTGTTTGTTAAGTAACTTCTGAACCACCTTAACGCTTGGTTATTTACTCCATAGTATTTCAGTTTTTTGAGTAGGATGTGATGATCAACCGTATCGAAGGCCTTCGATAGGTCGATAAAAATACCTAATGTATATTTTGATTGTTCAAACGATTTTTAAATTTCTTTTACAAGTTGGATAATTGCATGCTCTGTTGAGCTATCCTTTTTAAAACCAAATTGATTAACATAGAGTAGGTTATTTTTGTCAAAGTGTTTATATATTCTGTTGCACATAATTCTTTCTAGGATTTTTGAAAATACAGAGAGCACAGAGATGAGGCAATAATTAGTTATTTGGGATTGGTCACCCTCTTTATAAATAGGTGTAACTTTGGCAATTTTTAATTGTTCTGGAAAAATTCCTTGTTTAATTGAGGCATTGAAAACTTTGAAAAAAACATCTTTTAGTTGCTTAAAGCAATCTATTACCACATTTCCATCTATTTCGTGTGGTCCACATGATTTATTTTTTTAAATAGATTTGAACGCCTTTTCATGTTCTTCAATTGATAAATCAGAGGATAGCTCATCAGAGCATATGCACTTCTCCAAGGGTAATAAAAAGTCACTAAACAAAGTTCTTGTGATAGGAATTTTATTTGATAGTTTAAGACCTATTTCAGTAAAAAATTTATTAAATTCATGTGATATAGCGTTTGGTTCAAATATACTAGTGTTTCCAATTTTAATCATTTGTGGCAGAAAACCAAAGCATGATTTTTGTTTTCCTATAATTTCCTTCATTATTTCCCAAATGCGCTTAGTGTTATATTTGAATTTGTAAAGTAATTCCGAGTAATAATTTTTTTTTAAGATTTTACGAATTTTCTCAAATAAATATTTATAGTTTTTGTAAATTTTTTTGTAAATTTATCAAATCTTCCAAAAGAAAACAAAGACTCTATGAAAAATAGTTAAAAAAAAAAAACTTACAAAAATGAAAACAAATACAAAATTTATAAAAACCTGTTTGAAAAAATAAAAAAACAAGCAAAAAATTTTAATTTATTCTAATTATTGTTAATTCTAAATATTCTAATAATTATTTATTCTAACTTATTGCAAAACAATATTGGAAATAACAAAAAAACATGGGATGTTATAAAAGAAATAATAGGAAAAAAAAAGATTGACTCTGGTAATACACTGCCTAAACGTTTAAATATTATTGATAAAAACATATTTATCAGTGATAAAAAAGAAATTGCTGAGAGCTTTAACAATTATTTTATAAACATTGGAAAGACGTTAGCAAATAAATTAACTTCAAGTAAAAAACTATTTAAATCATACTTAAGAAAAGTAGACTTCACAATGGATGAGTATGACTTATCTCCTGATGAGCTTTGGAATGCTTTTGAAACCATACAGTCCAAAAAAAGTCCTGGTCTTGATGACATAGACTCTAAAATTGTTAAAAATGTTTATGACGTTATTGAGTATCCCCTAATGTATATCTTTAATCTCTCATTAAAAAGTGGAGTTTTTCCTGACCGCCTAAAATTAGCAAGAGTAGTTCCAGTATTTAAAAGCGGACATGACTCGACTTTATCTAACTATAGACCCATCTCCATACTCCCGTGCTTTTCAAAAATATTGGAGCGCATAATTTATAATAGACTCTTTACATACCTTCAAAATCATAACATCCTCTGCAATGACTAATACGGATTTAAAAAAGGTCACTCTACTGAACATACTGTAATAAAATTAGTTATCGAAATTTTAAGTGGCTTTGACAAAAACAAACACACCCTTGGAGTATTTATCGACCTTTCAAACGCTTTCAATACAGTGAATGACGAAATCC